CATGTTTGTGTGTGTTGTGTAAATTGAATATTTTATGATGATAAAACATAAAAAATCTCATTTAAAAACAATTCTTTAGTATATATAATTTTTATTTTATTTAAAATTTATTTTTCATTTTACATACCAACCCCAGTTCCCTCTCCCTCCCCTACTTCTTCCCCTCCTACTTACCTCTCCCCCTTCCCACCTCCCACCCACTCCTCACTGGGGGAAAGACCTTCATCGGGGAGTCAACAAAGTCTAGCATAGTATACATAATTAAGCACCTGTTAAAAAATCATACACTAATGAGATGTGATTTTTATTTTTAAATGAATAATTAAATCTTGCTAAATACTTGACAGTACAGGACATAAAGCAATGTGTTCGTCAGAATTAAGTCTTGTTGTCCTGACACAAACTAGACACACCTGTGAAGAGGGAGTCTCAGTTGAGGAATTGCATCCATCGTATTGGCCTGTGGGCATATTTGTGGGGTATTTTCTTAATTGCTGATTGATGTAGGAGGGCCCAGTCAAAATGCTAAAAGTGTTTTCTATAATTAAACAATTATTTCTTGAAGAGTAGAAATCTCTATATGCATGGCAAAAATGTAGCAACTCATAACATACAGTAATCTTCAATCTTAGTCAAGATATTAATAGGCAGCATTTCTTAGTGTTGTGTGATATGATGGCTTGCACAGTGCAAAATACACATTTTTTTTCCAGAATCAAGGCTGCAGTGAGGTTGGGCAGTGCAACACGGGTCAGCACTGGCAAACACACCCCACGTACAGAATATGTTTGATTTTGAATAAGTTGTAAGAATTGTGTTTCTGCAACCTTTTACTATTGCCGATTTAGTTTGCAGTCCCCATATTCAGTTATCTGTCTTCATATGACATTATGATCCACAGATGAGAAGCTGTGCTTTCAGGTAGGGCACAGGCTGGGATCATCAGGGTTTTCTCAACTCAGAATTCATAAAGGCACTCCCTTAACTGGTTCCTACTGGACTCCTTAAGCCTGCTTTAGCACTCCAGCAAACACAATGCTTATAGGAAAAACTGACACTCAAATGTATGAAGCAAGAATAAAAATTATCAGCCAAACCGCAGAGTCTCCTCTCCTGGGCTGTGTGGCTCTGGCCTGGTCATGCGTTCTGTGCTTTCTGTTCATTTCACAGCATCTGGTGGGTTCCTCTGTTCATTTCACAGCATCTGGTGGGTTCCTCTGTTCATTTCACAACATCTGGTGGGTTCCTCTAGGAGCCACTGGCAGGGAGAACGTTGCTCGTCGTTCAGTACTGTCACTTAGGGAGATTAAAGGACTGTTTGTTTGTTTTTTAATCAAGCTCCCTCCAATTCCTACTCCAAGTCTACCTTCCTCCTCTCTAGCCTACTCTCATCTTGGATCAATCTCAGACCTCATGGGATACTTTTAGTGTAATTCTGAACCCAGAGACAAGTCTGGGTAGAAGTTACATCTTAATACTAGTGAAAGTTCCAGTTCCTGAAAGATGCTCGTTCAACCAATCAGGTATACAAAACATCTTTCATTAAATTAGGTCAAAGTATTTTATAGTTGTGATGCTCCTTGTAGACTGAATAATTTGAAATTTGTTGCTAGCGTATAGAAAAAAACTTGTGTACGTTCTAAGATACTACTAAATCCACATTAGTTCAAGCTCCTGTTTTGAAGAACTTTTGAAGTTTCTCACATAAATAACGATACTAATAAATAGAAATAATTTCCCCTTTTTTTTTTGGTTTTTCGAGACAGGGTTTCTCTATAGCTTTGGAGGCTGTCCTGGAACTAGCTCTTGTAGACTAGGCTGGTCTCAAACTCACAGAGATCTGCCCGCCTCTGCCTCCTGAGTGCTGGGATTAAAGGCATGCACCACCACCGCCCATCGAAATAATTTCACTTTTTACTGCTAAAATGTGTTCTTTTTATGCCTTTCTTTCTTTAAGGCACTAGGACCTTCCACAAGTGGAGTAAAATGACTCAGGTGGATTCCCTTGCTATGTTCCCATTGCAGGTGAAACACTGAATTGTGAACAGTGCAATATCAGCTAGATGTCTTACACCGATGCCTTTTGTTGCCGAGAGATTTTTGTCTTGCATACTTTTTAAAAATTACGTTTATTTTGTGTGCATCTGTGTGCATGTATGTTTGTGTGAAGGTCAATGGACAACTTTTGGCTCTCTCCTTCTACTGTGGGCTCCCAGGATCAAACTGGAGTTTGAGCCATCTTACCAACCCTCACTTGGTATAAATTTTGAATTTCATTAAATGTTCTTTTTTCTCCACTGAGATTGCACATTTTCCCATTTTAATATAGTAAAATACACTGATTTGATTGTAAAATGGCAACATAATCTTGGATTCCTTAAGAACCTCTACTTTTGCTTACAGGTGCTTTGCTGGCAAATGTTTTGTGTCTGTTTCTTGCTGGATGTTGATCTGAAACTTTTTCATAAAGTTTTTTGCTGATTCTTGATATTAGAGTACAAACAATTCTTGATATCAGAGTACAGCTGCCTCACAAATCATGCTGGAAATATCTCTCTCCCAGACAGTTTGGAATATTTATTAAGTGCTGCTATTGTGTCTTCACCAACTTGACAGAACTCATCATTAATACCATCGTACTCTGGATTTGCTTGTGGAAAGATTGACAGCAAATCAAGATTTTAGTAAATCCAGGATTTTTAAATCTGTCTGTTCTGTCAATGTCAATTTTGATAAATTGCAGTATTAAAATTATTTATTTTGCAAGTTGTCATGTTTATCAGAATAAATGTACCCCTGGTCTTTCTGTACTGTCCTATTAAATGTCTGACATTGTCTGGAGGGTCTGACCACAGTGCAGTCAAAGTGAGTCTCTGAGTGTACCCAGTGGGCTTCTCCAAAGTTCTTGAATGCACGCTGATGTTAGTTACCACTGAGGAACTCATTGGCCTTTGCCCTTTAATTATTGCTTGGGCCCGGTTTTACCTACATCACTGGACTCTATTTTTTGTTTTCAAAAGTAGAGTTCCCTGTGCACCATGTGCACCAAAAGTTCTCTTTCCCTAACTCTGGAGACCCTTTCCTTCTGTGGAGGTCCCTGACTTGCTATACTTAGTTCATCTAAGTTTACGATTTAAATGGCTTGTTCCAGTCATTAACAGAAATCTAATACTGCTTTCTCTAACATTACCAGAAACAGAAGTGAAAGTATGTATTTTTCTATGCAAACATTTATCTGTAAGATGATTTTTTTAGTACTGAAGATGGAATTTAGGGCCTATCCCTCGTCTCTGCAAGGTTTTAAAAAATAATGTGTTTTAAAAACTTTACTTTGTAAGGAATGCTAGGCAGACAGGGTGGAACTATTCCTTCTGACTATTCCAGAGGTTGCTCGGGGCCTTCCTTCCCGTTTCTCTCTAGGTCTGGACATGAGCTTAGAATCTAGAATGTCCTTCCCTGTGTTCCTGACAAAGAGCCTGCTGAAAAACCACGCAGTGCCTGTAGCTGTCCTTTGCGCCCTCGCAGGCTTCAGTGTGTCTGGGCAAGATCACTCTCCATTTTGTCATGATGTCTCCTGGAGACTGGCCTCAGGTCAGGTCTCCGTAGCAGCACTGGTGCTCATCTCCCTTGATGTCGCCGGCAACATCCTATTGGTCACGGTCACGGATCCTCTGGATGAAGGTGGTATTTTGTTGAGTTCATAAGCCTGTTGTGGGAGGTTCTCTAAGACTATGCGAATACCTTCTTTCCTCTGAAATTCGCTGCTCGGGTAAAAGTTGCAGGACTATTATGATCCACTTTGATAAATGGAACTTTATTTGGCAGTGGAGGTGTAGGGAGGCATTACACCTCTTTCACAGGCTGCTCTCCTTTGAGTGCTTCCTGTCTCTTTGGAGTGAGATACTCTGTCTCATCTCAAACTTTCTATGTTAGGCTGGAGTTCACCTTTTCCGGAGATTCCAGTTCCTCCTCCTTCTCTTCTTTGTTTGTTTGTTTTTTGTTTTGTTTTCTAGACAGGGTTTCTCCATGTAGCTCTGGTTGTCCTAGAATTCACTCTGTAGACCAGGCTGGCCTCGAATTCAGAGATCGCCTGCCTTTGCTTCCCAAGAGCTGAGATTAAAGGTGTGTGCCACCAAGCCCAGCCCAGTATGCTCCTAGTAGAGAATGATCTCAGAAAACATGATATGATTACTGGATGTGGATTGCTGCACCTGGCATTTTACTTCCTGCCCCTCCCGGGCCAGAAATGGGAGCACATTCATGTGCACACTCAGATTCATGCATACTCACACAACACATGGTTATTTACATCTAGAATTTATTTCCACATACTCTGATTCATTTTGGGTCTAACATGGGTTTCTCCAATTTCAGTATGAGTCATCGTCTCTCTTGTGAATTAGACTTCTCTGATAGTAAGATGCCAGCTGTCCTCAGCAAAGGTCCCATCTCATCAGACTATGTGGGTGACCATCCTTCCATCTCTCATGGACCACGCAACGGGTTATGTGCTGTTTCTGTCCCCTCTTCTGGTATGCTCTGGCTTGACTGTGCAGGGTATACCTCTAGGGACCATGGGGGCAGAGAGCTTACGCTGCAGTAAGGCTACCTGACCTGTTAGTAAGTTGGAGAGTCAGTGGCACCAGGAACCACTTGAATGGAGGGTTCCAAACAGGATGAGGAGTGTTTGGAAAGAGCAAATGCCCTAGGGGCGTCTCAGAAACCTGAGGCTGCACGTGGATGTTGGCATGGATTGGGTGTTATCTGAAGTTTCTCTTGTCTCATGTGGTGCTCCTATCAGGGGCCAAAACCCTTGATAAAGAGCCAATTAAACCCTGCTTCTTCATCTACTGTTATTTTATGTGACAGCAGTAACTAATCTCTGCAGACAGGTGGCCTTTTATCTCCCAGGACGGGGAAGTGGGCAAAGGCTTTGAACTCCTGCCTGGAGGAAGTGGCCTGCTGCTTTGTAGGGAGATGTCTTGAGACGGCAGGAGACATGGGCTGCCTAGAACAAGACTGGGCCTGTGGTCAGTAAAGGGGAGGGCCTAGGCAGAGGAGGGGGAGCCGGCTGTCCCTCTGATAGCTATAGAGCAGCTGGGCACGCACCTTTCCAGATCAGGATTGCCTGTGGAGAAGCTCGGGTAGAAACTCAACCTTGTGGAGCATACTCCCCAACATGTGGACATGGGAGTCAGACATTCTGTGCGTCCTTGTTCTGCTGGCCTGGCTGGTGGGTAGTGTTTACCCCCAGGCACTTTCTGGCCCAGGCCTGGGTCCAGAGCTTCTCCATCATTGGAACAACAGTGGGTACTCAGTGGTCAGTCTACAGTGGATCTCTGTACGGGCTCCCTTCCTCACCACTTCATGGACCTTGGTGGCTCTTTTCTCTGCCCTAGGTAAGCAGCCTACACTGGCTTGAGGTTTTTGTTCTATGTTCATTAACAGAGCTTTTTTCTATTTTCATGTTCTTCTTACTAGGTATCATGAATAGTCTAGTAGCCTTACTCTTCCCATACAGGGATGGATCTCCAAAGCCCTGATATGCACCTATTGGCCCTTGTCACTCAGTGATTTTTCTCAAGGTTTCACAGAGATCCAGACGCCCTCTGGGCACTCAGTCCACACAATCTCTCAGCTGGTCAGGAAAAAAAGTGGGGGCTGCACTTTGAAGCCTGTTAGATATTTTTTGAGGGGACACTGAAGTGAAATGTGTTCTTGTTACACTGGGTTGCGTAGCCCCTGAGTACATACAGATGCTGTACAGCAATCCCTTATCCACAGTTGGGTAAGGGCCCTGTGCCCGGCTGCTGTCCATCTGTGTACAAACTGCACAGAGGGTCGTGTCCCTTGCATATGGTCAGTTGTCCTTCCTATCTCATCTCCAGCAAGAAGGCTCCTGCATTCTAAGGAGTAGATGGGGAGAAGGAGCAAGCCTTAGCATCACCCAGCCCTCAGCCATGTCCTCCTTTCTAGGGGGAAGTTATAGGGCTGAAATGGATTGCTTTACTTCTGTCTATCCAACTGAGCGTGTGTTGCACATCTTTAAAGTTTTGCTAGTCAAGTTGTGACTAGCAAAGTTTCTACAAGTTTCAGTTGTGAAAACTGACTGATTTTACCTAACTTGCAAAGAATTATTGATGCCACCTGGCCACGTATCATCCGTCTCCCAATGTCTTTCATCACAGGACATGCTCCCTGCCCGCAATCCCAGTCAGTCCTGTTCACATTGATGTTGCTTCTGTTGCAATAAGACTACCCAATCTCATTTCCTGCGGACCTTGCATCTGTATTGTCTTATGACCAAAAAGGCCTTATTGTGTCTACAATGGATCTGCACTGGCTCCCCAGAAACTTCTTCATCTCCCTTATGTGGTGGCAGGGCATTAGATCAGGAACAGGATCCAAAGTCAGCAGAGTTCCTTTTCAGAAGTTGTTTATGTTTTAGTTTGTATTATTATTCAATGAGCAGAGCACTTACTGGGCAATCATGAAGACCTGAATCTGATCCACAAAGCCCACATTAAAAAGTTAATGTGCTAGCCAGGCAGTGGTGGTGCACACCTTTGATCTCAGCACTCAGGAGGCAGAGACAGGCAGATCTCTGTCAGTTCAATGCCAGCCTGGTCTACGGAGCAAGTTCCAGGACAGCCTCTAAAGCTACAGAGAAAGCCTGTCTTGAAAAACCAAAAGAAAAAAAAAAAAGGAGAAAAAGTTAATGTGCTCTTGTAACACCAGTGCTGAATGGTGGCTCATTAGTCAACTAGCCTCCCCTAATCAGAAAGCTATAATCCCCAGTGAGAGACGCTATCCCAAAACAGGTGGCTGGCCTCTGACCTCTGGCCTCCTCCACACTCATGTATTCATATATGTACCTGTATGTACATAATAGACACTATGATCAAAGTAATTCAGAGAGAATAGTTTATTTCATCTACAGCTGTTGTCCACAAGAATAGGTACACATTCAGAGAAGTCACAGCAAGGAACCTGGAGGCAGTTGGGCTGGAGGGTGAAGTTTGAGAAGAGCTACCCAGCACTGGATCAAGTGTAGCAGGAGATCGTAGCGTGTCCTTACAGAACTTTGTTTCCTACATATGAATCTCTGCTCAGTTTTCTGAGCTGTGCTCAGCTTCTTCTGGTTTAATTTAAATGTATTAAAACGTGAAACTAATCTGCTGTAAGGCTTTTCCTTTGTGACTTTGCATGGTGCAGTGGTACTTTTCCACTAACCTACCTCCCCCGAAGCCCACAGTTCTTACTAAGCTGTTGTTTTAACAAGTCTGCATATGTTTGTTCCGTTAATGATAAGCTAGTTGGTCATTTTAAAGTATGTGGAGTGATGCCCTTGGAAGACCTTGTTTCTCTCCAAGTGTGTCAGGAACCCAGGACCTCCCAGCATGCTGCCATATTGGAGGAAGTACAGGGTCACAAAGGATCAGAGAGCCGGGTCTCCTGCCTATAATATTGCTGACAGCAGCCTCAAGGGTGCTCCGGGGGCTTGTGTGTGTATAAAGAACTGTGCTCGGCACAGGACCACCCAATACGGGAGGTGACTATGGGAGAGGCTGCAGGCACACTCACTCCCTGTCAGCCCAGAGCACAGGTGTGCTGTAGGATGTCTTATACAGCCTGTGAAGTAGTCTTCCTGGAGGAAGTGAGGGAAGAGCATGTTTACCTACCAGGGATGCCTGTGCTTCCAGGGATTTGACTCTTCTTCCTACCTTTCAGCATTTGGCCTCCTGAACTCTGGCTCCTCAGGGAGAGAACTCTGCCCTTGAGCCTAGATGCAACCATACTATTTTTCTCTTCCTCATCATTCCCTTTAATCCAACTGAATACCAACATTTGGGGACAGTCTACAATATCAGAGAGGCTGCAGAAACCATCATTTTACGGAGGGTCTCAGGCCTGATCCTCAAGTCCCCAGCTAGGGAGGAAGAACTGGGTTTCAAGGATGAGAACTCCTCTGAAGGCTCTTGCTCACCAATCTTTACCTGAGGTCCTCAGAGTTCCTGAGAACAGGAAGCAACTCCTCCTGACTACACAGTCCCCTTCAATTGTTTTGTTTTCATTGACATGTATTAAGTATACTCATTTGTGGCATTCTGTGTGATATTTCCACACATGTACACAGTGTGCACTGATCAAATCCAGCCTCCGTTCATTCTCCCTCCTTTGCTCCAACCTCTAGTAAACACTCCAACATCCAGATTGACATTTTAAGGCTCCACATAAGCAAGAATAGGTGCACATGTGTCTGGCTCCTCTCTGTCGCACCTGCTGTGCGGCCTGCATCCGAGAATATAGCGAGGTGGTCGGGATAGATGACACAGAGACCGGTCGGTTGCTTTAAGAAAACTTTATGCTTCCCAAGTCAGCTTAGGAGGAGACCCCAGTCCGCTTAGGAGAGCTCTCAGGAGAAGTCTCCCCAAGAAAAAGGAGCTTCCCTTTTTAAGGACTTTTGCCATCCATTTACATACCATTCTTTCCTCCTGGCTGGTGGTCTAATCTCTGGCCCCAGAATCGGGGAGACACCACAGGGAAACAGGAAGAGGCATCTAGCCGTAGGGGGTGTGAAAGGCATGGTATTTCAGTGAGCAAGCCCTATCTGAGCCCTAAAGCACTGAATTGTTTTCAGTAAACATTACATAGATGCCTGCTCCCAGGCCGAAGGGGAAGTGGGTTTCTGCTCAAGGTCTGGTGTCCCCACACCTCTCTGTTAACATGTCTTGCGGCTTTATGTATTTTGCTGAAAATGTCAATATTATTATGTCTTAATAATATTCCATTATATATGACACTTCATTTGTCTATTTTTCTATCGATGGACACCTTCCCAGGCAGACTCCACGTCTTAGCCCTTGAGAATAGTACAACAAATGCAGGTGTGCAGGTGTCTCTCTAGTGTGATGATTTAACTTCCTTTGGATATGTAGGCAGATAGCAGAATCACACGATAGCTCCTGTGTTTTGGGGGCCTTCATAATGTCCTCCGTACTAGTTTACGTTCCCGGCACCCTTGTGTGAGAGTTCAATCCCCACACCCTCACCAGTATGTTTTTTATATGTCAATAACAAACTTGCTGAGAAAAAAGGTCATAACATCAATCACATTTACTATAACCATAAAAATAATTAAAATAAAACCAAGAATAAATTTAACCAAGGATTTGAAGGACCTCTACAATGGTAATTAAAGAATTCCGATGAAAGAAAATAAAGAAGCAAAAAAGTGGAAAGGCCTCCCATGTTTAGTGAGTTAGCAGCAACGCTATTCCTGTATACACTGCCAAGAAATTTGCATAATCAACATACTCTCCCATCAAAACACCAATGACATTCTTCATAAACTAGAAAACTGATTTTAACATTTATAAAGACACTCAGAATCAGAATAGCCCCCAAAGATCAATCCTGAGTAAGAACAGCCATGCTGGAGACATCACAATCCTTGGTCTTAAGCTACATAACAGAGAAAGAGTAACAAAAACAGTGTGGTATCACATGGAAATAGACATGAAGATGAATGGAGCAGAACAGGGAGTCTGGGAATAAACCCACCAAGCTATAGCCAACTGAATCTCAACAAGGGCACCTGAAATATACATTGGTAAAACAGGATCTTCAACAAGTGATACTGGGAAACTGGGTATTCATATGTAGAAGATTGGAATTTGATCACCATCTTTCATCTTGCCCAAATATACATGCATACATACATACATACCTACATGCCTGCATACATACATACAGAATCAAATACCAAAGTATAAGATCTGAAACTCAGGACAGGCTATATCTGGAAAACCTCCTGTCTAACCTATGCTAAGTCCTGTATTCTGTCCCTAACCCTGAGAGAAGAGGGGGGAGCAGGAGCAGCATCAGCATAAGAAGAGGAGGAGGAAGGCGGGGGGAGGAGAATATGAGAAACTAATTGCTAGAGGAAAACAGGGAAGTGTTTTTTATATAGGGCAGTAGAATTGAAGCAGGAATTGAAGATGGGACTGCATCTACACTAAAAAGTCTCTGTACAGTAAAAAAAAAAATCATGGGAGAAGATCTTTGTTAAGTATTCGCTTGATTGATACATGCAAAGGGTGGTGTCTAGTCATGCCCAGAGTCTGGGCAAGGCTAGGTCTATGCAGGGCTGGGTTTGTTCATGGTGGAGTCTGGAAGTGCTGGATCTGGGGTAGAGACTTGCCTCGACATACACAACAAAGCTTGCCATATTCTCAGCAAGACTGTCCATCACATCGCCTGTGTGCGCATGTGGGCCACCAATGGCTCTCCTTCCAAGGGCCTCTACTATGCCACAGCCAGCAGGGGGCAGGCAGTCACCTCTTCAGGGCCACCAGCAGTGAGCTCAGGGGGACTCTGTTCTACTGATCACTTTTTT